CCGCATTCAACTTAAAACATAGAACCAACTTCATCTTCAGACTTCAACTTCAGACCGGAATACAGTAGTGCATGCGCTACAGCTTGGCAGCAGAAGAATAGGTAAGAGGATGGTACCTCAATAGACGAAATTCTAGCATAAATGGCGTCCTACCACCGAGTAACGTTAGTTTTCTAGCATCATTCCGAACACGGTCATTAATACACCTCTTTCTCTCTCTCTCTCTCTCTCTCTCTCTCTCTCTCTCTCTCTCTTACTTAGTTCTCTTGAACTCTAAGTTACCTTCGATCTATTGTGTATTGTTAGGTGTCTAGACTATTACGCATTTTTAACACACAGATAAACTAAAAATACTTCTCCATAAATAGCGCGACTTCAAATATTATCTTCATGTAGTCACAGGTAAAAATCCACATCTTAGATTTATCCGTAGCCCACCAATTTTTTCTTGAATAGATTTAGACGCCACTTTACCGAAATTCTTATACAAATACATTACATTAGAGGTTCTAAAAAGTTTAAAGTTAATGAGCTACAACAAAACATTTTAATGTCTTTAATTTATTTTTCCTTTATTAACTGCACATGGACGGTCCACTAGAAGGAAAAAATTTATCATTATAGTAACACTTCACGCATGATGGTAGGATTGGTCATCGCATCACAGACTCCTAGCTTGCTTATACAAGGTTACGATAGTTCAATCGTCATCTATTGAAGACCATATAATCTTAGTATTTTCCATAATCATCCCCAAGCTCCATAAGACTTTGTAAGACGATACGGATTGGATTACTTTGCTTGATAGCGACCGACATCGCTTAACCAACTAAATTAAAAACCGTACTCTATAAGAAAATTGGACCAACATTTCGGATATGCCTAGCGATAAATAATTCCATCAACTCCCACCATTAGTTCATGGAAACAACCGGGAACTATAAGCGGAGGAAGTCATAAGACGTTCGGATTGCGTAACACAGCCGTAGAAATTCGACTAAATTTAAGTCGGTGGAGCATTAAAGGGGACGACGACGGCATAGACGGTTAATTCACCCCATAAGGGTCGCACTGGCGCCGGCAATCCTGCCGTAGACAAAATTCTAAGTACGACGTCTTGCCATCGCGCTTGTCGCCCGCTCGCGCCACCCGCGCACAACTTTTCTTAAATGTTACCTTCAACTTGTTACGTTTAGAAATGCATACGGCTTTTGTAATGTTTATTACTATTTAATGAAAACTTACGATTTTCTAGCAGAGTTGTTTTATTATTTACTAATTATATATGGAATTTTATATAAGCCATAACAAAATGCCAATTTGATTTCGCGCTTAATATTTTTAATCATTTTACCTTGTGGTAACGGCGTAATAAAATCTACCACACCATGTCGTCGTATAGGTATCATAAGAGGCGACTAAAGATAAGAGCAAAAAGATATTACTATTTATGGACTCTGACAATGGCGGTATAACATTATCCATTATAAAATACCCACACCAACGCTGGTTTGTAGCATAGAAGATACACAAGCAAGTTCTATTGTAGTGTAGTTTGATCAGGGACCATATGTTAGCCATAAAACGCGAGCAATCTCGGTTCATTCCTCGCTGGCACCGACTAAGTTGTTAATTGACATTTTAAGTGCCGATTTACCATGTGGTGAAGGAAAACATCGTGAGGAAATCTGCGGGCATCCTTTTTCATTCCTTGCCCCTAATTCCTCTCAGAAATATGTGGTTGCCCGTGCCCAGCAGTGTGACTTATAGTAACTTTATAAAAACATTACGTCGAGATTTTAATTCAGCCTAAATAGGTAATTGTACGCCAATCTTTAAACTCATTGTCTATTCGATGTTGATAAATTAAAGTAACACCTATTCTTGAAAGAATTAACCACTTCGTTCAAGCACCCATTTTACCTTCACTATATTCTCAAGAAGTACTCAAGAAGTCTATTGGGCCGCATAACAGATTACAAAAATGAAGAAAAAAACGAAACAGGTAAATCACGCAACCTATTCGTACATGATATCACCGCGGCACAAGTTTTGATTATGTTTATGCTAGTCGGCAACTTATTTTTTATGTGCGCTACAAATTATATTTGAAATATTATTATCTTGCTACTTGCTAGATATTTTTTGAGGTGTAATTATTATTAAATCGCGTTCTGTAGTGTAAATCTTCTAGTTTACTTAAAATAGGGCTGATTATCATTCAAATTTCAACATAAACTTGAACCTGTTAAATTTAAATGATATTGAAGAATACGAAAATTTAATGACGTTGGTATTACATGAGTATTTTAAATAAAAAATAATAATATATATTAGGCTTAGCTACTCTTTTACTAGTGGTTACGTTTAATTGCATTTGTGAAGTCGGCTGTCGGCGCTTTTGTAAAGAAGGAAGCTAGCCTTGGTAAGGGCTCCTGGCGACAAATCCATCAGGGTGTCGACAGGCCATTTGTTGCGGGTGTGTTCACGCTTGATAAATCGTGCAAGTTGTCTACGTTTGCCAAATTTATATTCATACACAAAGCGAATATCGCGCAAGAGTAATTGAATGTGATTTACACAAAACATCTGATTACGTTAACAAATTGAAGAAAGAATTAAAATGTTATTGTTTATTATTTTCATAAAGTTATGTTTGAACATTCGAAAAGCTAAAACTGCGTTACGAATTTCATGTCTTAGTTTAAAAGTCGTATCGTTCGACGAATAACAAATTTTCCATTGGAAAAGAGGACACTGAATAAGTTATCTGACGATGATAAGTCGCATCAGCCCGCCGCGCCATCGACATTTCCACGAGCGACGTAAAATTTTCACGGTTCTTACGACACTCAAATTTTCGTGATTTACGTCGGCTGTAGATGTGTTCATAATTTATGCATTCCAATTCCCAACCGAGATTCAAATACATAAAATTCCTTTTAAATTACCCTAAAATACAAGAATTAATCACTGTATTTTTTTTTTTGCAAAATTCTTGATTTACACATACACATGAAGGAAGAACTTTTAAAGGTTCCACATATTTATATGAAGGAAACGATACCGAACTAAGTGGCAGTTCTCACAGGGCACGCTGAAATTATTTATGGAGTCTTTTATTGCTTAACTTCATTCATTGCTGTGGTTGCTTTTATTCCTTTGACGGGAAAAAGTTGCGAGATTTTATTGCCGGTGTGAGATAGGACACGTTATTGCACTAACTTGTAACGGTAGCTGGAATTAAAATAGATTTTTTGCGGTCAATAATGGCTACATATATAGATATGACTGCAACTATTCTTACTGTTTATTGCCTGCTATTTCTAGCCGCTTCATTTCGGAACTGCTTTGCAGCTAAATTTATCTACTTTTATGCGACTTTGCAATACTATCCCGATTAAAACACAGACCTTAAATATTTTCGTCAATATACAGTTCAACATCGACTTTCTGGAAAAAATAAATTACAATCATCTGTATATTGAACTGTCTGTCTATAATATCGCATTATGACATAATTAAAATGTTTTAAAAATTTTGTTCTGTTGCGGCTAAGTGCGGACATTTTTAACCAATTGTGATGAAAATTTTCCTTAACATAAAACTATTTTACGACAAAACGTGTTAAAGGATAAGGTAATAAGACTTTTTTTGACATGAAATTACTACATCATCAATTTTTAATTCGAACATATTTCCATATCGCCCATAGTTTTCGACATAATAGCAAAAACATGTAAAGAATTTTTTGATATATATTAAACTACTTGCCTTAAGGGGATATAGTAAGTCAACTCAAATTCTAATTTCGCCCCCACTTCCCCGCGCGTCGTATGCTATGTACCGACATGTTTGTAATCACTAATACCGTAAGTAGATAGGTCGTTAGATACTTATTTCATTAGGTTTATCATATTTATGCCTGTTTCTTAACGCCAACCCAGTCGCTTCTTATTTTTATAACGGTTATTTCCCATTTTAATTTTACGTCGTCCTGTTGCGTAATGTGTATTCTGATCGTAAGCGACACAACTTCTCCCTTCAAAAGCCGGAGCGATACTAACGGGGCAACAGGAATCAAGCTTACGCGCCGATAGTTTAGGTAATTTCCTTTTTACAGTGAAAATAATGGTATTTAAAAAAAAGTAAATAACATAAGCACTGCTTTATAGTTAGTTCAGCTAGTATGCAAAGTTTTATGATCTTATTTAAATTATTTTAGGAATAACAGCGGTTTATTGTTCAGTTTGGAGGTAACTTTGGATTTTTTTTCTATCGAGGAAATTTTACGGAATCGTGTTTTCGTCTAACATAGTCCTTAACATTAATCCTCAACTTTACTATATATTTATTTCAAAATTAATGCTGCAATACTTTCGACGTAACGGAGGATATTGCTAAGCCATTTGAGGTTATATTTCCCCTTAACACTACTATTATTTATACTTAACACTACTATGGTTTATCATGACTGCCTCGTTGGTCTAGTGGTTGTAGTAGTGCGACTGCTGATCATGAGGTCCTGGGTTAGAATCCCGGGTCGGGCCAAAAATCAATTATTGAGTTTTTCTGCCAAGAAATTCTCAGTAGCTGCCCGGAGTCAGGAAGTTGGCGGTGTCGCACCCCCGGGCCTCGGAAAGCACGTAAAGCCGTTGGTCCTGCGCCTGATCTCTCTCCTGGTCGTGTCGGTTTACCGTCCCATCGGATTACGAGAGTGAAGGAATAGAGAATGCATTGTGCTTGCGCATACACTTGGGCACTATAATCCTGTCCTGCGCCGATGGCTAGCCTCCGTTGAGGCAGGCCGCCGTGGCCGAAATTCGGTCTGAAGGACATTATTATTATTATTTATACTATTAGAATAAATAGATGCAAGGTAAAATCAAATTTTTACAAAGCGTTAATATTTTTTTTAAATACGTTTCAATTTGTTAGTAAAACCATGTTTAGTTTTGTACTTATCAAAAAAATATATAAAAATCACTATTTCTTTGCAGAACTCAATCCGGCACAACCTATCATTACACAACCGGTTCATGCGAGTGCAAAATGAAGGAACCGGTAAATCATCGTGGTGGATGATAAACCCTGATGCAAAACCCGGCAAGTCAGTCAGAAGACGGGCGGCGTCTATGGAAACGTCAAAATTTGAAAAAAGGAGGGGCCGAGTCAAAAAGAAGGTAAGATTTTTTTTATTTGATTTTGACCCATATTTAAAAAAAACCTAAAACGCTATCATTGTCTTTACTTCACTTTAACAGACTGAAGCACTGAGGAACGGTGCACCAGCAGACGCTACTCCCAGTCCCAGTAGTTCCTTGTCGGAGAGCCTCGATATGTTCCCAGATTCACCTTTACCCAGGTTAATATTTATTTATCATATTTGTAATATTTGTATGTGTATAGACACGCTAGCGTCAATCAAGCTTACAGATTACTTAGATTATTAGAACTTAGTTTGAAATTTTTTGTTTATTAAAAGACTAACATAGTATATATTGGTGAAGTGGCATTAAACCAATTTTTTCATCTGTAACGAATGCATTGATCGTAATCGACTGCAAATGTGTATAACTTCAACGACATACGAATAAAATATATATGTAAGCTATTAGTGTTGATTAGCATTTCTTTTATATTATATCAGCTTGCTTTATACATACCTATCAGTTTCAGAACCTTAAACGAGGTCACAAATTTATAAAAAAAACTATCGGCGTAAAACTACATAGACCAGTCCATAAAATTGAGTTACGACAACCGTGTTACTTTACGATAAAAGGTTTTAAATCATTCACAACCATAAGATGATGAGTTATACGAATGCTGAATCTCGTCATTTCGGCTATATTTAACATTTTTATTGCCGAATATTTGTCGAGCTTGCGAGCTTAATCGACATTCATTTTGGATAGTTTTTTATCCCTTTGGGGCTGTCATATACAAAATTTCTTATAGAATTATCTTTACTGTAGTTTGCGGTAATAAAAAATATTTCTATGCTGACCATTTAACCCGTTATGATCATCGCTTCATTTGACATTCCCAGTTTATATGTTAGCCAGCCGTAATAGAGGCATTAGATTTGCATGTTTCCCATAACATTACGAAACTCCTTAGAGACGTCGCTAGATGGTCTAGGCACGTTTTGTTTATGCTGAGAATTACCATTATTTGCCATTTTAAAGTCAATGATTTATGGCTAAAGTGAGTATGTTCTCCTTAGTCATAAAATATCGACATCATAACTATTGAAAATTAAATTTTCATTTACGAAACGAAAATATTGGTAATGTTTGCTTTATGCGTCAATATTGTTAATATAAATACATATTTAAAAAGTCACTAAGATAATAATAAAAAGAGATTTTGATCTTAGTTAAGTTGTGCGTATCCATGTAGCTGGATGCGTTACCAAGATCATTCAAATTACTAATATTTTCGTCTTATAATAGTAGAAAAACAATATTTTTTGACGCTTGTTCGCTTTGGCGTAGCAGTGGTTTTCAGTTATCACCGGAGTATCGCCAGAGAGCTTCATCCAATGCATCGTCGTGTGGCCGCCAGTCACCAAGATCATCGCTGCTAACTTCAGAACCCGACTGGGTCACCGACACGTACAATCCAGCTAGCGATTTCCCATCGTCTAGCGACTTCACAACTACAGGAGATTTCGCAACTACCAGTGATTTCACACAAGTGGACTTCGCTCAAGAAGAACAACTGGCTGGTTCACTCGCGGACTCAATGAAACTACAAGGAGCAGATCCGTTTCTAAATACGTAAGATTTTAGTTTGGTATGCTGCAGGCAATAGAAACGATTCTTGTCACAATGTCCTCCTGATCAAAATAAATCATGGTTCTAAGCCACATAACATTTCACCCCAACAAGTTATAACGATAAGCAAAAATCTTTTCTATTGTTCGCTATAGAATTTATTTGCCTTACATTAGAACGCTTTGCTTATTATTTGTTATTCGTTAAGTTTTTCATAATTCAGCACTGAAAACTTATTTCAGTAAAGCAAACTACTTATGTTTATGTGTTTAGCCACACCTTACAAATGGCCTTTAAAAATCTGCAATGAACAAAAATTGAGACCTTCAATACCATGCACGAGGCTCTTAAAAGCTATCACTAATTAATCACTGATATAAGTATATTTAATAAGTAATTTTCACTACAAAGTATCTGATGGCGTCAATTAACACATGTGTCACATTTGAACTATTGCTATGGCATAACTTACGTTTTAAGAAGTTTGATTTCATCTTAGTGAACTAACAATTATATCACTTTCGCATATTTGCTGTAGCAGCACAAAACTCTGATATTATCTCTCTTTGAATTAATCGTTTTAGATAAATCGGTGTTCTACTATCAGTAGTCTTGTTAGGACACTATTCCCATCAGTGGTCTAGAAATTTTACGTTTAGGTTGAGATGATTATTTCGAAATTCACAATTTTTTGTGTCACTTTTTTTAGGCAACTTTTATGATACCCGTGGTAAGCGTGCGCTTCAACTCACCAAAATATTACTACATTAATTATCATCTAAACGTTCTTGTTTGTTATACTAAAGAATATCCATACAAGTAGTGATATACATGTGAGATATATAGTGAATAAGTCACTCACTTATTCATTGTGTCTATTACGAATATTTGCGTATCAATATTTTATTTCTGATAACCTTCGAAATGTGTCACGAGTCTTACTCGTAGTTTATCTGAATCGCGTTAGTACTATTTATCTCATGCGCGACCATCAGTAACAAGGCGACTACGTAGTCGTCCTTTGACAGTAGGTACTGCTAAACTTCTTAGAGCCATGCTGCAGTTGTATTATAGTTGCAGCACGAATGGGTCTGCTCGAACGGGCAGGGTAGCACGTTCTCACAGATGCCAGCGTTGAATAGAAGATTCATGCTGCTGTGTTTCGTATGGTGGGTGTAGAGAACCGGAGACCCTTTTTCGAGGCATTTCATCATGGTCCTCAGAGTGGGCAATGTATCTGCATTTTGATTCATAAGAATTCTCGATGATAGATGTCCATAAAATAAACGGTCATGTAGAAAGAATGAATGAGGAAAGACTGACAAAGCAAATATATGTTGCAGAAGTGAATGGAAGAGTCGGAAAGTGACGTCCTAGGCGAAAGTTTGTCGACCAAATTGGCGATATACTAAAAATGGGCCAAATTAAGAGTACCCTTAACCGACGAGCGTGTATGCGTAGGTATATGGATGTGGAAGAGGCGAGAGAGGTATTTCAGGATCGTGCTAAATGGAAGTCTGTAGTCTCTGCCTACCCCTCTGGGTTACAGGCAGGAGTGTTTATGTCTATAGACACAGCAATCACCTTATCCCGTTAAAAATATCTGAAACCGGCGAAGTGCATTATCAATTTAACTGGTGGCTATCAGATACGTGCCGACTACGTCGTCGTCATCCTCGAGTAGCGGCTACCGGTACTCGTTCGGTGCGTGCCCGCGGCACCCGCACGGCGCGTGCGGCTGCTCGCTGTACGCGCACCCCGCGCATCCCGCGCACCCCACACATCCGCATCAGCACGCGCTCGACCACTTCGTGCGCCCGCCCCCACCTGCGGATCCCGCCGATATCATGCAGACAGGTCGGTATAAAACAAGTGTCCGCTCTATTTGATGCAGTAGGCTCTTAGATCAACAATACCAACTAGATGTCGGGTCGGCGCAAGAAATCCATCTCATTAAATAAGAGCGCACATGAGACGTGAGCTCTTGCACGTGAGAGTGTAGCTCGCAAGCCAATAACGGGAAAAAGAACTTTATTTGTTATAACTTAAGGTTGATTTCACACTAAATGTTATTTAATTTATGTCTTTTCATAGTTTATATTCATGCGGACAGTATTTAGCTACGATTTTGTACGTGACCCGTTATCTAGTTGGTATTGTTGATCGAAGAGTAGGTTGAAGGGATCGGCGTACTTCACACAAACGCGCTTCACAAAGGCCCGGTTCGTGGGAGTTGGCGAACCATGTCAAACTCTTGCAACTTATTTATTTACCAAATGCTGCTGTTGCTATTTGCCTGGTGAATTTCTTACCACAATTCATTCCGAGAGTGTCGTGATAGACGACAGAGGGAAATTAAAACCGGAGATGGGCAGTAGCGTCTTTTGTGATAACTGCTGAATAAATATAAATAATTAGAACGAGAAAAATAATTAGATGGCTGCCAACCCCATTGTCAAGCGTGGTACTCCAGTCCAAATTTCGGCCACGGCGGCCTGCCTCAACGGAGGCTAGCCATCGGCGCAGGCCAGGATTATAGTGCCCAAGTGTATGCGCAAGCACAGGTGAACTCTCTATTCCCTCACTCTCGTAATCCGATGGGACGGTAAACCGACACGATCGGGAGAGAGATCAGGCGCAGGACCAACGGCTTTACGTGCTTTCCGAAGCACGGGGGTGAGACACCGCCTACTTCCTGACTCCGGGCAACTACTGAGAATTTCTTGACAGAAAAACTCAATAATTGATTTATTGGCCCGACCCGGCATTCGAACCCCGGACCTCATGATCAGCAGTCGCACAGCTACAACCACTAGACCAACCAGGCAGTCGTCAAGCGTGACAGCTATGACATATAGGCCTATTCAGCAGTCGACTTGTGATGGGCTGTAGTCATCATTAAAAAACGCCTAAGCCAAATCTCACAGACTAGCAATAAGAGTACGTTGCGAGAGTACCGGCTCTTCACTCACTGACCCAGCGACCAGTGGGTGGGCCACTGATAACAGGCCAATGTTCCAATCTACCAAACGTGGACTAAAATATAGTTGTTGATGACGATAGTGAAAAGTACCTATACATACATTTTCATAGATAGAACCTTCATTTGCGATCTGACTCGAGACAAAAATTTAAGTAAAGTTGATTTAAGTGCAAATTAAATTATAATCGTAGCAGCCAAACAAAAACTAATTGTAACTGTAATTTTCCCTTATTATTAGTTAGCGTACAACAATAAAGACGTGCAATTTAAAAGTTTTTTCTTTAACGAGCAATCAATAACAAATTATACACAGAAAATAGCCAGACTCGGATGGTGACATCAGACGCGGCGCTCATGAACGGCGGCATGATGGTGCAAACTGGTGCATTGGGACCTACCACCGTTATGGGGCAGATCATGGGCGCCCTCAACACTGGGATGGTGGAAGACTTGAATATCGAATCTTTGGAGCATAGCTTCGATTGCAATGTGGACGAGGTCAGTTAACTAGGGCTCCTAGGGCTCGAGAACATCTATGAAGTAAACAGGAAATTACTCACAGTTTTCCCTCCCCAATCTCAGAAAGCCACTTGAAATTTTTGTATCTACCTAAGGGTTTTATGTCACTATTAAGTAGAACTACCTTTCCCATTTCTACTCCATATGGTGGTGGCGTAAATGACACCAAGTAAGTGAGCTTATGTTCTCCGATAGATGAGATGTACAATAGTCAGAGTGGAGCAGTGTCAAAAGTGCGAGACTTTTGGTACAGTGCAGCGATCGTCATTACGCTTTCAAAGCGTGGCGATTAACGTAAATCCTCCCCGTAAAAGAGGTAACGGACGGCGTTTAAATGCAACCATCTAACTATCCATTACGGCCAGTCCAAAGTTTACTGCCGAACATAGGCCTCCCTAATAGATTGCAGTTTTTTAAATAAAAATAATTATTTAACCTGTATAAAATAAGAAAAGAATAGTGTTTGCAAAAAGCCAATCAGCATCTGAATAATTAATAATATAATCATAACATCCTCCAAAACTGCCATTCTTAAGATTCGTCTTTTATTGTAAGTTTGACTGATTATGAAATTGTTAGCAGCAGACTTATACAGCGTGATGATTATTGCAATTAGTAATACTTAATTTATACGTGGTACAGCCATGCTGGTAGTATAGTTGTAGCACGAATGGGTCGGCTCGACCGGAGAAGGACCATGCTCTCACAAAATACCAGCGTGAAATCGTAGCGTATTGCTGCTGTGTTTCGTATGGTGAGTGTAGAGAACCGGAGACCCTTTTTACTGGAAACGAGGTTTCATTTTAGTCCTCACGGGTGACAACGCATCTGCATTTTGATTTGTAATGGAGGATAGATGTAGATGTCTATGGGCCGCAGCAACCACTTACCATCAGGTGGACGGTGTGCTCGTTTGTCACCCTATCCTATTAAAAAAAAACATCTTATCATTTCATTTTGGTTTAAACAATTGCAAAAATTTATTACGAACAAATATATACAAACAAAACCTACAGCAAAACGCAAGCGGTTTAGGTAAATATCGATCAATAAATCTAAAATAGTTGACTAATAGTACTTATAGGAATCCAATTTTGCATATTTTTGATATTGAAAGAGTTCACTTTTACAGTAGTCCTATATTAATAAAGTTCAACCAGTTCTGATGTTAATTGAAATCGGTTCATATTTTGTTAAAGTAAACAAATTATCTGTGCAGAGGCAGTGTAAGAATATCCACTGCTCCGTATCCCGTGGCCGACGGAGGGAAATTGGAACGGGAAACGGGCACTTCAACTCAAGTTGCTGTCTTCCTGATAGCAACTTGAGTTGTCGGCACAATACGTAAAACTAAAAATAAAATACTGCGGTTGTCAACCCGCTTGCCAAGAAGCGTGGCAGCTATGGCAAGACCATGAGGCAATCATGGAGTGAGGCCTACGTTCAGCAGTGGACTTTTATAGGCTCTTATGGATGAATGAATTTATGAAACAAATTATCGAAGAATAATTTTACGGGGTCTATCGCGTGTCACCTTATTTTTAATTTCCGTAGTATCAAGTCCTTTGTAGGTTATGGGAAGATGCGTCCTGGTCTTTTATGATGTTTGATATCTTGAAAGATCAACATATAAAGATCTAAGGTCAGGACCTGTCTTTCCATAACCGATAAAACACTAATGCATTGTGGTACCCCTATAATGCTTAATGTTTTAATGTGTAGACTTCCCGAAACTAAAAATGAAACTCGAATTAAATGGGAGAAATCATGACTAATGTTTCTGAAAAATTTTGCTAAATATTTTTTATTATTGTCCAATAGGTGATAAAGCACGAACTAAGCATGGAGGGAACGTTGGACTTCAACTTCCCTCAGCAGAACAGCGCAATGGCTGCGGAGGCCGAGAGCCAGTTCGCAGCGCCGGCGCCGCCGGTGCCCACCACGCTGTCGGGTGGCGGAGCGCCCAGAACCCCTTACTCCGTCGCCCCCTCTTGGGTCCACTGAAACCACCTTTTGTAATACACTACTTAAGGCACCGATACACATGGACGACTTGCGTTCGTAAGACCAATCGCCCACGTTAGAATCGCGCGTTCGATTCCTAAGGGTTTAGAATATTGTTTTTCTCTCATCCTTTTGTACATATGACGCGAATGGACTTTTCTGTTTAAGTTTTCTTTTGTTATATTAGCGTATATAGTCGAGATTTTCTTTTCTTGTTCATGTTAACTAATGTTAGAATTTTATTTAGTGTTATTGCTAAGTGAACTGTTACCGATCGTTGTTGAAGTGTCAATTGTGTTAGCTTAGGGCTTTAGTGTTAAGCTAGGTGGAAGCTTGTGATATAGTTAAGCTTGTTGCTTGGACCGAGAGGGGGCGTGAGTTTGATCCCACATCATGCAGTCCAACTGGAATTTTAATTAAGGTATTCTTTTAATTATTGCCATCTTAATTTAATATTAATGATATTTGTGTGTCACCTAATAAAATATCACTATTCGGGTAAGTATTAATGATGTCTGGTTGGTAGAATTTTTCTACCTAAAAGTTCTTCTTAGTAGAAACCATTCTTTTACCTATTTCTGGCGCCAAGCAGGAGTGCGTAAAACTACGATTCAGTCAGTATGATATACTGTTATTGTCATCCTGACTTCCTTATCCTTCAAATCAGAACGCAATCTTGCTTCTCGACAGAAAAAATATAAGAGTTAGAGAGTGGTTTCGAGCCAGACAATTTTTTAAACAGAAAAAGAGTTCTTAAGAAATACTCTTTGTTTTTATACGTCAACACTAAATTATCTTTGAAGCATTGCACATAATTGTGATGTTAATTGAAGTAAGAAATGGATCAGAAATGTCACATCCAAAATATAAGTAAAAATGTAGGGAGCAGTTTACTACGAAATATATGCGATCACAATCTTGCAATGCAATATTCTAAGAATTTATCTTAATAAGAAAATTGCTGCAAATCCTGTATCGAAGTAAAATAAACTTAAAAGCAGCCAGCAAATTTCCCAGACGGCGAAATATTAGCGAACATTTAACAATACAATAGCAATAAATCCGGGGTGTATCAGCGATAATCTACCGAAAGTTTTCCGAGTCGAGTGTCCAATAACTTGGTCTGTCGGTATCGGTCGCTCGCGGAACTATAACTCTATTGTTTCGTGAAAATATTGCAAATGGCGATTTGACCTCTTTCCGTCGCGTTTGAGATACAGTGGAATGTGGTTACGTTTTAGTTAAAAATTTGAAAGTTTTCTTTATACATTACAACATCCTGATTTGGCTTGTTTATTGATTGTACAACATTTATAGTAATAGTCGTTCATTTATTGAAGGTTGCTTCATTATATTATCTTTTGATTCTTGACTTGATTCTTTAATTTCATCAACATCTACATGAACTACCTAATTAAGTGCATAAAAGGACGTAGGTCAAAAAATTAACTAGCTATCTAGCGTTACTTAGAATTGGTTAATGAACGCTGAGCTGATACTATACGGTTGGATTAATTTTCTGCTAGTTCGCGTTTGAGTCTGAGTCTGATAAGGGTGATACCAACCGCTTCATATCATACTTATTTCTACATCAAAATGGCAATACTTGCACTGTCGTATTCCGGACTAAAGGGTTCAGAGATCCACCACCACCAGTATGGTTACAGACTCTGCGGCGTTCCAACTCAGTCCTCAAAGGCGACAACGCATCTGTAACCCTCTTTGTTTGAAGATGGCTGCAGGTGTCCACGGACTGAAGTAGCCACTTACCATCAGGTGGACTATAAGTTATTTGGACATTTCAGTTTTATAAAAGCAACCTTTTCATGTGGTTATAGCTCCCTACTATCAGTGTGAAATTTGAAAATCCCCCACGGGACCTATTGAAAGATCATATTAAAAACTTACCAAAAAACATGTATATTTTATCATGTCATTATATTACTTAAAACTAATATTGCACAAAACAACTTAAAACCTACTTCAAAAAAACAAATTAAATAAGCAAACCCTTCTCTAACCACAGTATTTTGATGTTAATTTTGACGCCACAACACAGTCACTAGAGATACACCTTGCTTATTGACAAACCAAAATCCCCTTACCAACTAAACCAAAATATTCGTAACTTACTGAAATAGGCCATGAATAATATTTTTTTTTAAACTTTAGGCACCCTTACACTATAATTTCTCCTGTATCCCATTTCACAAACATCAGTTGTATATAGTGAAGCATCTAGACGCTGAATAATTATTTGTAAGGCTATATGCACACATAATTAACATTATAGTTTCATTACTACACTTAAATTTACTTGAGGTGATAGAGGGCAATCGAACGGGAGATGCAGAGCAGCGTGTTCCTGACAACCTTTTTTTTATAGGATAGGGTGACAAACGAGCACAGAGTCCATCTGATGGTAAGTGGTTGCTGTAGCCCATAGACATCTACATCTATCCTCCATTACAAATCAAAATGCAGATGCGTTGTCACCCGTGAGGACTAAGATGGAATGCCTTCGATTCCAGTAAAAAGGGTCTCCGGTTCTGTACACTCACCATACGAAACACAGCAGCATTAAGCTACTATTTGACGCTGGTATTATGTGAGAGCGTGGTCCTTCCCCGGTCGAGCTGACCCGTTCGTGCCTAAACTATACTGCTAATATAACTGCAGCATGGCTCTACCACGTATCAACTAAAAAAGTGCGCCCTCTTTATTCTTTTGTTTTAAGGATGAAATAAACAATAAATAAATAAATAATAAACACTACTATTACCTATCCAGCTGCCAAGCCTGGCAACTATGTTAGACATCCTGTCTATAAGGCAATGTATTGGAGATATGGATTATGTTCAGCCGTAGACCTTGGCACCTTGGTAGACTGTAATAAATTAAAAAATACGCACACTTGCTCCATACTGGATTCTTACCCGCGCCTCGCAGCGACGCAGCCAAACACTTCGTTTTATACGTGGTAGAGCCACGCTGCAGCTATATTATGGAATGACTGGGGATAGACCTCGCTCTCACAGAATACAAGCGTAAAATAGCAGCTTAATACTGCTGTGTTCGTATGGTGAGTGTTGAGATCCGGAGACCCTTTTTACTGGAATCGAGGCATTTCATCTTAGTCGAGGATAACGCAATGCGATCAAGCATAAATGTCTATGGGCCACAGCACACTTACCATCAGGTGGACTGTATGCTCGTTTGTCACCCTATCCTATAAAAAAAAAACACTACGCCACCGAACTTCATAAAATTTGCAATAGCACGCATCGCATTTAAAAGAAAAGATTAATACAATAATACAACATCATACATAATGCGTGTAAAGTTATTCCAGGCAGACCTTAACGAGACTGTTTATAATTGCCACTTAACAGGCCATCGCAGGACTATCGTTGGCATAATAGCGTCATGTTGTTCAGACCCCTGCTTTGAAACTTTCAAGATGTCTCAAGAGGCAATCACTTATGACAGCTAATGTCTTCTACATAGGGATTAGTAGGTTTGATCATTATACTGTTTTGCTTTAAATAGAACTAACTCAAAATTAGGCTAACTCTCAAAAAATATAACAATAACGAGTATAAATAATGTTTTATATAAAAAGAACCTTGTCCGTCATGAATCCTTACATACTCGTAGATGCGTTAAGTTTTATGACTGTGTATTACAAGAAGTAACTGCGTCACTCGTGTTTACGTTTCATTGTGCGCGAATTATGACACGAGTATACTCGCTTTATTTATGAAAGGACGCTTCCAGAAAAAATTTGTCGAATTTTCGGCGAATGTAACACGCCTTTATGCGAGGTTATGAGGCGGTCAATGTCGGTATAATCTAGAAAAGCCCGAAAGTATAAAACGTGCCTCATATCTTTTCCGTCTCTTGGCCGTACATTGGCATTCTTACCTCAAATTCGCTGCTTATATAAAGGCGCTGTCACATTTAACTGACCGTATTCTTTCATTTATCATTCATTTTCAAATAAGCTGCTGTTTTAAGATTGTGGCTTTTTGTTAAGCATATAGTCGCAGTAGTTCCAATATAACTGATATACGATTTCGTTACTGACGAAATAACTTTCTAAATATGTAATTAGTAGACTTTGTATTACAGGTCACAGGCAAAGTCTAAATACTTATTTATAATTTTTAATATACGGTAAAGTCAGGAAGAATAAATGCAACATTAATTTTGCGAATACGTATATACGAGTATGTCACTATCACAAGGAACTTCTAGTTCGCAGTGTTGAATTGCCGTATTCATATTTTTTATTATCAAGATCAGAGTACGAGCACACATTCCACCTGACGGTAAGTGGATACTGTAGCCGCGTAGAACATTTCCATCCATTGTTGTTGACTAAAATAAAATGCCTTGTTACTATTAAAAAGGGTCTCCAGTTCTCTACACTCATCATACAAAAAACAATAGGGTCAAGCTGCTATTTCACGCTGGTATTCTGTAAGAGCGTGGTCTTCCCACTGTCGAGCCAACCATTCGTGGTGCAACCGAAATATAGCTGAAGCGTCGCTCTATTACGTTAAATTAGTCGAAAGGTATTCAATTTTATGAACGGATTTATAGCCATTTGTTTTCGAAATAACTATTTAAAAATGATCATTTTTCTACGTGCAAGCACCCACACACCCACAATAAATAAAAAAATAGACAACCGATGGAAAAGAAAAGTTCGAGTGGCAGCCTCTTACTGGCGAGCGAAGTGTAGGGCGGCGATAGGTGTACTCTATGAATGTAGATCTTAGATGATTCTCTTGTGTTTTTTCCCGTTAAATAAGTTTTAATTCTGCAAGTTACTATAGGTTCTATAAAACGCCATCAGGTTGCAAGGAGACGACGCCTTATACTTACAGCCATTTTACCGTTACCGTTACAGCCTGTTGAAGTCCACTGCTGAACATAGGCCTCCCCACAGATTGCCTCATAGGGGGATATTTGATATTAGGAAGACCCTGCTGCCCATCTCCTATTTGTTTCCATCGATTGCCAAAATTTCAACCGGACCTTCTAATATATTGCCATACTTAACACCGATATCTCCTTAAAATCTTCCATTTTATTAAATTCGTTGTAGATACTAATAAGTTGGTCATAGGTGATAACATCTGTCCAAAACACAATTTATTTTAGTTGTTATTGTCAGAAATATAACAACTAATTAAAAATAAAACAAAAGGACAAAATATCAAAAGAATATCATAAATCATAAATAATTAAGTATTATCATACACTGAACCTTCAGACGGAGTCTGTCACAACCCTTATATCACAACGGGGCATTTGTTTGCAAATGATATTGGCGTATGAATAAAATATATGTAGCCAACAATGTATTATTCTAGAATTTTTACGATGCATCCATTATAACAGAGCCTCATAAGA